ATCAGATGTGTCTCCTGGAGGCAGCATATTGTTGGATCTTTTTTTTTTTCCTCCAATCTGCTAGTCTATGCCTTTTGATTGGAGAGTTTAAACCATTAACATTTAGGGTTACTATTGAGACATGGTTTTTATTTCCAGCCATATTTGTTTATTTTTGTTATTTTACTTGAATTCGTTTTCTTCTTTGATTAGGTTTTTCTTTAGTATACTACCTTCCTCTGCTGATTTTCATTGTTCTTTTTCATTTCCTCTTCATGAAATATTTTGCCAAAGATGTTTTGTAGTACCAGTTTTCTATCTATGAATTCTTTTAATTTTGTTTATCGTGGTAGGTTTTTATTTCATCTTCAAATCTAAAGCTGAATTTTGCTGGTTGCAAGATTCTTGGTTGGCACTTATTATCTTTCAGAGCTTGATATATGTTGCTCATGGATCTTCTGGCTTTCAGGATCTGTGTTGAAAAGCCTGCCATTATCCTAATTGATTTTCCCTTATAAGTAATCTGATTCCTTTCTCTTGTGGCTTTTAAAATTCTCTCCTTATTCTGTATGTTGGACATTTTCAATATAATGTGCCTTGGTGTGGGTCTATTGTGATTTTGTACATTCAGCGTACTGTAGTCTTCTTGAATTTGGATTTCCAATTCATTCTTCATGTTTGGAAAGTTTTTTGATATTATTTTGTTGAATAGATTGTTCATTCCTTTGATTTGGAACTCTATGCCTTCCTCTATCCCAATAACTCTTTAAAGTTGTTCTTTTTAGGCTATCCCATATTTCTTGAATGTTCTGCTTGTGGTTTCTTATCATTTTCACTGTGTAGTCTATGTTCTTTTCAAGATGATTTATTTTATCTTCATTGTCTGACATCCTGTCTTCTAAGTGGTCTACTCTGTTGGTGATACTTTCATTTGAGTTTTTAATTTTGTTTATTATTTCTTTAATTTACAGGATTTTTGTTTGTTTTATTATGTAGAACCTCTATCTCTCTGTTGAGGTGATCTTTTGCTTCTTGGATTTGTTTATGTAGCTCATTGTCGAAGTGATCTTTCACTGCCTGTATTTGTTCTCTTATGTCTTCTTTGAGATCCCCAAACATTTTAACCATGTATATCTTGAAATCTTTCTCTGTCTTTTTTCTGCCATAGCTGCCAATGCTTTTAATGATGTGTTGTCTTGATTTGTTTGTGGTATTTTCTACCCTTGTCTTTTCATGTTGCTCGTGTTTCTTTCTTTCCAGCTCTGTGGATCTGGTGTGTTATTGTTTTTACCCTATAGATTTGTAGTGCTCTTGTACGGTTCCAAGATCTCTCCTCTGTGGGGAAGGACAATGTTAACAGATCCCAATATCAACAATACATCACCTATGAACCAATTGTTGTTATTAAGACATTTACAGTTTAGTCTCAATGTCCAGAAATGTTGGATTCAATTGTTATTAAAATATAATCAGGAGTTTCAAAAAAAAAAGGTTTACAGTTTCTGGTGGTGGACAATGAACTGGGAGTCAAACATGAGACTAAATATTGAGGGGAGAAAATATGAGGGTATAGAGTTAATATATCTTAGGAAATGTGAAGGAGAAATCTAGTGAAGAGGGTTAGTAGCAGGAAAATAGATAGGAGGTAATTTGAGGTAGACAATTACATGGGAAGACAGTAGAGTCATAAAACAAACACACATATGTTTTTAGAAAAATACAGGATGTTTAAATAGTATAATTTTGAGGGTGAATGAAGAAGAGAAAAAAAAGGAAAAGAAAGAAAGAAAAAATAGAGAGAAGAAAAAGAAAAATGGGGCTTATGCAATTCCTCTATATTATATTATTCAGGTGACTTAGTCCTCAAAGTCCTATTTCATGCAAAGTTCTTGGTTTTACATAGGTTGGGGATGTGAGGGCCAGAGAATAGAAGTGTAGAAGAGAAAGAAGAAGAGAAAAAAAAAGAGATATTCTTATTAGAGATCCATTTCTTTCTCTTCTCATCCAGTAGGTGGGATTGTCTCATCCAGTAGGTGTCTCTGCCCTCAGGATGGTGTAGGAAATCAGGGTGAGAAGACTGGACCTGTTGTGGAGCATCTGGAAGCAGGGAGTTCTGCTCACCAGTTCCAGCAGGAAATAGCGCCTCATGGGTCTTTTTTTGTGACCACTCATCTGACTTGAGCCCCCAGTGTCATCTCCTTCTCTTGCCTGGAGATTTCCCAAATCCTGATTTCTCTGTTATGCTCCAAACTTTAGTCCTCTCCTCTTTCTTATTTATCAGGTCTCAACTGCTCACACCAGGCAGGCGGCACCCTATTCGCACTGCAGTCCTGTCCAACTAAGAGCTGTTCTTGTGTTGGGTGGCCACTGTGCCAAGTTAATGCTGTTGAGGAAGGGGTAGGAATTGGAAATCAGGTACCTGCTCAAATGGCAATCTGATCTGATAGCCACGCCCACCACAAAATGGCGAGGAAAGTTTTCCAAGATGTAATTGGTCTGCTTCCAGCGCTGGGGTGTCTGGTGATGTGGGGGTAGCTGGGCAATGGCCTTGGGCTACCAAGGTAGGAATAGGTAGAAGCCAAGTGATCTGCGTGGGAGCAGAGTGCAGTCTGGAATTCTGCAGAAGTGCTAATAGGTGTTTCTGCTAAGCCACTTGTGAGCTGCAAGTGGGCTAGAACTGTGGGCTTTGGGTCTAGAGTCCTGAGACTTACTTGAGCCCAGAGGCTCAGATTTCTGGGCAAGTGGTTGCAGCACTGGTGATTTCTATGAAAATTCACTGGCCCCTGTAGATCCAATCTGGGAACTGCCCCTGCCTAATATGGTGATAATGTTGAGCCAAGATGGCGGTAGTCTGCTTTCAGCACCAGGGTGTCTGGTGAGGTTGGGGGAGCCCAGCATGGCATTGTGAAGTGGGTAGATAGCAACTGAGTGACCTGTGTGTGAGTGTAGCAAAGTCTTGGCGATCTGCAGATGTGTTGATAGGTCTAAAATTCTGATTACACATATAGAGCACAATTTTTCATATCTCTGGTTGTATACAAAGTATATTCACACCAATTTGTGTCTTCATACATGTACTTTAGATAATAATGATCATCACATTCCACCATCATTTATAACCCCATGTCCCCTCCCATCCCCTCCAAGCCCTCTGCCCCATCTAGAGTTCATCTATTCCTCCCATGCTTCTGCTCCTTATTCCACTATGAATGAGCCTCCTTATATCAAAGAAAACATTCAGCATTTGGTTATTTAGGATTGGCTAACTTCACTTAGCATTTTCTTCTCTAACTCCATCCATTTACCTGCAAATGCCATGAATAAAATCAATAAATTCTCTTTTATTGCTGAGTAATATTCCATTGTGAATATATGCCGATTTTTTTTTTATCCATTCATCTATTGAAGGGTATCTAGGTTGGTTCCACAATTAAGCTATTGTGAATTGTGCTTCTATAAACATTGATGTGGATGTGTCCCTGTAGTATGTTGTTTTTAAGATCTTTGGGTATAGACCGAGGAGAGGGATAGCTGGGTCAAATGGTGGTTCCATTCCCAATTTTCCAAGGAATCTCCATACTTCTTTCCATATTGGCTGCACCAATTTGCAGTCCCACCAGCAACGTATGAGTGTACCTTTCTGTTACATTCTTGCCAACAATTATTGTTGTTTGTGTTCATAATAGTTGCCATTCTGACTGGAGTGAGATGGAATCTTAGAATAATTTTGATTTGCATATCTCTAAGTGCTAGTGATGATGAACATTTTTTCATATATTTGTTGATTGATTGTGTATCATCTTCTGAGAAGTGTCTGTTCAGGTCCTAGTCTTATTTATTGATTGGGTTATTTGTTTTTTGGTGTTAACTTTTTGAGTTCTTTATATACCCTAGAGATTAGTGCTCTATCTGATATGTGAGGGGTAAAGATTTGTTCCCAAGATGTAGGCTCTCTATTCACCTCACAGATTGTTTCTTTTGCTGCAAAGAAACTTTTTAGTTTGAGTCCGTCCCATTTATTGATTCTTGATTTTAATTCTTGCATCACAGGAGTCTTATTAAGGAAGTTGGGGCCTAATCCCTCATGATAAAGATTAGGGCCTACTTTTTCTTCTGTTAGACACAGAGTCTCTGGTTTTATTCCTGGGTCCTTGATTCATTTTGAGTTGAGTCTTGTGCATGGCCAGTGATAGGGGTTTAATTTCATTTTGTTGCATTTGGATTTCCAGTTTTCCCAGCACCATTTGTTGAAGACAAATTTCTCCAATGCATGTTTTTGGCACCTTTGTCTAATTTAAGATAATTGTAATTTTGTAGGTTAGTCTCTGGGAAAGATCTACCTTGCTCTTGGATAGGCATAATTAATAGTATCAAAATAACCATACTTTCAAAAGCACTATACAGATTTAATGCAATTCCAATCAAAATTCCAATGATATTCCTCCTAGAAATGGAAAAGCAATCATGAAATTCATCTGGAAAAATAAGAGACCCAGAATAGCTAAAGCAATCCTTAGCAGGAAGAGTAAAGCAGGTGGCATCACTATACCAGACCTTAAACCATACTACAGAGCAGTAGTAACAAAAACAGCATGGTATTGGCACCAAAACAGACTGGTAGACCAATGTTACAGAGTAAATCAGTTCTTAAGAAACAAAATTGTAACAGAATAAGTAGTATACTCTATTGTCACCATAACGTAAAGGTGGTTCCACAGTTGTTCTGCCAGTTTGCTCTGCCTCTACCAACCTCTAAGAGATGGGGTACTTGTTTGTTGTCCTTGCATAACTTGCTTGCCCTGTTTCAGCATTTCATGGCTGTCATAGTTGACTTCAGTCCCTAGTTTGTTTTCATTAGTAGACAGTATGTGCTGCATCATTTTGAAGAACAAATGAAAAGAAAATTTAAGTTGGGAGATACACTAGTTTTACAGATGAAGTTTTGTTTTTGCTTGTAATGTTCGGTTGTTGAAGATTGCTTCTAAAATATTTTTTTTCTACAAATCTCTTTTGAATCCCAGGTATTGCAATTTCAGATGAACTTGATAAGGTAAGTTGAACTACATACCTAATGAAAAGAAAATGTGTGATTTCTGTTTTAATCTGCTATCTAAATTAAAGTTAAAACATAAAAATGTTAAAACATAATTTAAGTGTTAACATTTAAAATCTTTCAAAGTTATATAGATTCTCTTATGAATATGTATTACCTGTTCTTTGGAGTTAAGGCCTTTGAAATTTGGTTAGAGAGAACAGAACCACTAAGTAACTGCATTAAAAATGAAAACTAGCAACATTTTATTATGTTAATTGTTTGGATTTGGGCTGTATATAAATGATGATGATGATGATGATGATGATGACGACGACGACGACGACGACGACATAGACACTCACTCAGTCATTAAGTTCAGTCGCTTGTTTTCAGTTTTCTAATATGCCGAGACAATATGATGGTTTGAACAGTGGTAGTTGTGAAGTTGCTGGGAGAGGTTTGATTAAGAATGTGTTTTCACACCAGTGTCAGTAGCACCACCAATGGATTGACTGTGGGAGTTGCAGAAAAATTAGTCAAAGATGATTCCTAGATTCAGGAAATCATGAAGGAGGTAAACTGAGGTGATGCTTACCAAAATTGGAAAAACCTAGGGAAAGACCAAATTTGTCAGGTGGTGGATAACATAAGAGTTCTCTGTAGGATCATTTGTTTGAATTCTCTATTAAGTATGTTTTTATGAGTTGATACTTTGTGAGGGAGATTTGATTCACTGGGATAGAAGTTTCCAATTTTTTAATTTTTTTTTTTTTTTAGTGTCAGGACCCCTTATATAAATTGTGGAAGGATCCCAAACAGCTTTGAATTATGCTGATTATTATATACACCAATATTTTCCATGTTAGAAATTAAAACTGGTAAAAATTTCACATGCTTATATCATTTTAGAAGAAGTAATGACTAAAACCAGTACTTTAACACGAATAACCTGTATGTATGAAAATGCTTTATTTTCCAATGCAAAATAATTATTGAGAAAGTTATCTTGTTCATGTTTTTGGAAACCTCTTTACGATCTGGCTGTGCAGAAAACTGTTGAATTTCTTTATTTGTTTCTGTATTCAGTCTGTTATAATTTTTTGGATAAAAAAATCAGGCATCAGAAATATAGTTAGAAAAGGGAGAAGCACTTAGAAATATAGTCTTCATCAATATTTGATGACTATCTGTTTAGATATCTCTCTAAACAAAAACTATATTGAAATCTGGCTTGGTGCCTAGATAGATAGATTGAAAGAACATGATAGAAACTATTGTACAAAATTGGAATCATTTGAATCATGACACTTTAAAATAACCTACAATATAAAAATTGTATTAACAGAAACAATAAATAAAGTTTGTATTCTACCTGAAATAGGAATATACCCGTTGAATTTTGCACCATAAAAATGCATTTCTGACTCACTAAAAAATGAATAAGATATAGGCATAAACATTAATATATTCAGATAATGTAATAAATCATCATAATGTTTTAAGACTAGTTTGGTTTCTATCTGTACTAGTGCCATACAAAACTAGATCTTGACTATATAGAATAGCCTGGGTGATGAGGGACAGGTGTGATCTGGATTTCTTCAGCAATTCCTGCCCTGCTCTGTATGTCCCTCGTTGTTTTACCCTGTTAGTGTCCTTATGCCACGACCTCCCTTACAATTTTCAAAAACTTAAGATTTCTATGCCTTGCATTTGTGAACTATGTTCATTTTAAGTACTACATATAATCATCATCACTTCTAAATTCATTTACTTTTTCTAATATAGTCTGCAAAACCCTGGCTGACTATACCTTGTATGGGGTTGTTCCTCTTCTTGGTTTTCTTCTCCCCTTTGCCCTGTTCTCTGACTTGTGGTGGCATTGGTGTCTGTACCATTTTCGGTGAGAAAAAAAAAAAAAAAAAACATTTATTATTCCTTGTGCTGACATGGATGTAACTCTCACCGGGTAAGTTGTGAATACCCTAACACTTGGTTAAGTACCATCCTCAGGACATATCCTTCCCCTCACGCTCTCTTTCTTCTCAGCCTTAGGTCAGGAAAGTGTCCATTTAATGGAATTGAAAGACTCTGTCAGTTTTCATTTACTTACATAATATTTCTATTTTTGAAAACTTTATGGAAATTCCTAAAATTTCTTTGCACATTTATTTTCACTTTTATTGAGGATGCTGACAGTTATCATAAATAACACTATTACTGAAAAATATTTAGGTCAGTGCAAAAAAAAAAAATAAAACTTGATCCTACTCTTCTTGCATTTGATTTTCAAGGGTGCCAGGGCTATGGCCACCAATCTTTGCTTGCCTGGAGAGCGCCCTTGGCTAAGTGGGAGAAACTGTCCTATAGCACCCCCTGGTGACCATGAAGCTCATAGTCCAGAACTTTCCTGAATAGGCAGAAGTGAAGCTCAGGCAGCTGCGAAGAAACAGTCAATCAGAGTGTTTTGCGGTTTGTGTTGGCCTGGCCCCTGTGTCTTCAATGTAATAAGGAAAGTAATTACAGACCCTTTCTTTTAATCTTCCCTTCATGTTTTTGAGGTTTCATTAAAGGTGTATTCTTCTTAACCTTTATAAAACATTGCTCTTTTATTCTCACATTCCAATTCACCTGTCATTTTGTTGAAATCATTTTTTTTCTGTGACCTTTAAAGTTAGTTGACAAATTCTGATTAAAGTAATAAGAATTTTTAGTTCTACTTAAATAAAAAAAATAAAAGAGTAATATTACTGTTAGGGCCTTTTTAAAATTGTGAGAACGCTATCATTACTTATTCTTTAGTCTTTTCACTTCCTTCTTTAGCCAGTATTTGGTTTTCCTTGGTTTTATAATAAATTAAAACTACACCAATTTATTATCTTAAAGTTCTGTGGTTTAGAAGTTCAGCATGAGTCCCTCTGAGGTAATGTCGAGGTGCTCCTCGGGGCTGCAGTCCTTCCTGAAGGTTCTAGGGAAAATCTCTTTCTCTGCCTTCTTCCAGCTTCTAGAGGTTGTTCTGTTCTTTAGTGCCTGGTCCCTTTGCTATACCTGAGAGCCAGCAATGTCTTATCACTCATTTCATGTGTAGAAAGGCTCTTTGCTTTTCCAGAATCATGTTAAGTTGGGGCCACATGGCTAATCCAGATAATCTTCCCATCTCAAGGTCTTCAACTTTAATCATACAGAGTTCTTTTGGCTATGTTATGTAACATATTTATTATCATTACCATTATTCACTATCTTGGCATTTTCTAGCTATGTGGCCCACAGGTTTTAGGGGTTAGGATGTAGACATTTTTGAGAGGTCATCATTTTGCCTATACAGCCACTATCCAATTTCACATGGTAGTATTTTGTATATATATGAGTATGTGTAATTTTATTACATATATATATATATATAATTTATTAATGTATAATTGATACAATTATTAATATATGACTATTTTAATTTTATTAATATATAATTATATATATAATATTCAGGCTCCTATACTTTGAATTTACCCTTCAAAATGCCATATCGTAGACACTGTTAGTGCCATCCCAGTTCCCCGTTACTAAGGCAGTGTGATCTATCCTTCCACTACCCCATTAGGTGCTTATGATCTTACTCTTCTCCCAAGGGTTGTATCAACCCAGTGGGATTTATCATAACCAGAGATCCCTGAGTTGGTCTTCAGCCCATGACTGACTGGGCTCTGAGCTCCTTGTCCACATTCCAGAGCTCTGTATGGGATCGTCTTGAGAGGAGCCTTAAACCAAAGGCATATCTTTGCCTAGCTTCTCTGTCTTCTCCTGCTTCCTTTATTTTCTTAAAGGTTTCACTTGAGAGAACCCCTTAATAAACCACTTTCTCAGTCTCTGATTCTAGGAAACTCTAGCTAAGATGAAGCACCTAAGGAACCTACCTAAAGCAGAATCCTGTGAAAAAATTTCCTAAACTCCCTGCTACCTGCCATATTAAGTACAGATTTGTTATGCTAGAATTAAGTCTTTTTAAAAATTTTTTATAGCTATAGATGGACAGAATGCCCTTATTTTAATTGTTTATTTTTATGCGGGGCTGAAGGTCAAATCCAGGGCCTCATGCATGCTCGGCAAGTGCTCTGCCACTGAGCTACAGCCCCAGCCTCTAGAATTAAGTCTTTATCTGGGCCCACATTTGTATTCTAGATCTTATATTCCTTTTCTTCTCTATTCAGACTTTGTATTGAACTCAGTACTGCACTTTACTTTGTACTGTACATACTTTGATAGGATCAGAAAGCCAGAGTATAGTACCTCCAGGTCATACTTTTATTTATTCCCAAATTTTTGTGCATGCCATTTCTTTCCTTCTCTCCAACTGATATCCATCCTTCAAACTCCAGCCTTCCCTGGACAGCCTTGCAGAGAGCAAGGTCGTTTTTCATAGTCCCTTGAAGGATACAGTGACTTCATCCCAATGACATTCCTTGTCTCATATTGTGGGTTTTTGTGTTCACTGATTAAAGATGTACCTTAGTATTATGGAAAAATCCATAGATAGACCTTGGCTTGAATCCTGGCTCCTGTCATTACTACACAGCCCCTAGGAAGGTATCACAGATGCTGAGCTTGAGTTCTTTCTGTGTAATATTTAGGGGGTTTAATAACTATTAAAATGATATTAGGGGCTGGGGTTGTGGCTCAGTGATAGAGCACTTGCTTCGCATGTGTGGGGCACTGGGTTCCATCCTCAGCAACACAAAAATAAAAAATTTTTAAAAAGGTATTGTGTCCATATACAACTAAAAATAAAAAAGAATTTTTTTCTTTTTTAAAAAAGTGACATTAATTTCCTGATATAGAATAATTGGGGTAGATAGCTAAAATATCCCAAATATGAACATTTCAAAGTACTATATGGTAAAATCATTTCACAGGGAATAGAACATAGGAAAAATTAAACCTCCTGCACAAAATGTAGGTTTGAGGTTCTGTAGTGTTGTTGTAGTTTTGCCACAATTGAATTTTTTTGTTTCTGTTTTACT